GTTTCCCCCCCTGTCAATCCATCCTCATCCCCCCACATGTCGCTTCGAGTGGCGACGGTGGCGGTGGTGACGTTTGTGGAGGCAGCCAGTGATGGATGCGTTGGCGGGTGTGGCATGGGCGGGCGGGTGTTGCGGCTGCGTAGGTTGTGGCATTGGTGACGGATGTGGCGGCGGTGGCCTGCGGCAGGTGTCGCTGCGGTGTCGGTAGGTGTGGCGTTGGCGGCGGGTGTGTCTGCGATGGCGGTGGTAGCGGTTGTGGAGGCAGCGGTGCCGGTGCCGGTGGCGGGTGTGGCGTTGGCGGCGGGTGTGGCGGCTGCGGGAGGTGCGGTGGCATTGGTGACGTGTGTGGTGGCAGTTGCCTGGCGGCGTTGGAGTTGGCGTTGGCGGGTGTGGTGTTGGCGGCGGGTGTGGCTGCGGTGGAGGTGGTGGCTATGGATGTGACGGTGGCGGTGACGGTGGCGGCGACGATGGCGGGTGTGTCGTTGGCGGTGGGTGTGGCGGCTGCGGGAGGTGCGGTGGCATTGTTGACGGGTGTGGTGGCATTTGCCTGGCGGCGTTGGAGTTGGCGTTGGCGGGTGTGGCGTTGGCGGCGGGTGTGGCTGCGGTGGAGGTGGTGGCTATGGATGTGACGGTGGCGGTGGCGGTGGCGGCGACGGTGGCGGGTGTGGCGTTGGCGGGGTGCTTGGCGGCTATTGCAGGTGCAGCGGCATTGTTGACGGGTGTGGTTGCATTTGCCTTGACGGCGTTGGAGTTGTCGTTGGCGGGTGTGGCGTTGGCGGCGGGTGTGGCTGCGGTGGCGGTAATTGTGGTGGCGGCGACGGTGGTGGGTATGGCGTTGGCGGCGGGTGTGGCGGCTGCGGGAGGCGCCGTGGCATTGATGACGGGTGTGGCAGCAGCTGCCTTGGCAGCGTTGGAGTTGGCGTTGGGGGTTGTGGCGTTGGCAGCGGGTGTGGCTGCGGTGACGATAGTGGCGGTGGCGGTGACGCTGGCGAGTGTGGCGGTGGCGACCGGTGTGGCGGCTGCGGCAGGTGCAGCGGCATCGATGACAGGTGAGGTGACATTTGTGTGGGCGGAGGAGGAGTCGGCATTGGCGGCGGCGTCGCCTCTGGTGATGCAGCCGCCGGCGGAGCTGTCGTCCTCGTCTCCACCTGTCCATCGAGTCACTTCGAGTCACTTCCTTCCCACTTGTCATTCGAGTGCCGCCAAATGCGGCAACAGCGGCGGCGGCGTCGCCTCTGGTGATGCAGCCGCCGGCGGAGCTGTCGTCCTTTTCTCCACCTGTCCATCGAGTCACTCCGAGTCACTTCCTTCCCACTTTTGTCAATCGAGTGCCGCCAAATGCGGCAACAGCGGCGGCGGCGTCGCCTCTGGTGATGCAGCCGCCGGCGGAGCTGTCGTCCTCGTCTCCACCTGTCCATCGAGTC